CAACTGCTAAACCAAATTTCGTTTGTTCATCACCAAAAGAAAATTATTGCTCAATAGATATTAATTGATAAATATAAAACTCAATGATGAGAAGGATATAAATAATTGTTGTTGTGGTAATGTGTTACCCCTTGCGGTTGATTATATTTAGAAGAATCCTCTCAACACTAAGCCGTTTGGCCATAGAATTTCTAAGTAAAATTTGGGGGGGAATTTGGCAAATAGTGTTTGTCCATACAATTTGTCATTATTTGGCAAACAACTCAAATTCCCAAATACTAGAAAAAACTAGTATTTGGGTCAAATCTCATTACTTGGGAACTTTAATAATTTAAATTATACACCAAACTTTCATTTTTTACAAGAACACCCTCTATAGTAGTTATTTGCGTTGTTTTACATAATTTTTTACGTGAACATCAAAGTAGTGATGAAATATTCAGTGAATATGAAAGTGATGATATGGTTATTGATGAAAACGATGAACAATCGGCTTAGGGTAACAAAGTCACGTGCTATGTAATACACACCTTGGTTAGTTTTGATAGTTTTTAAAACTTATAGGTATAAATCATATTTCGTAAAAAAGTAATTTCCCAAATATTATGGCCAAACACATGATGAAATTTCATTCAAATTTTCACCCAAATAATATTCGCCAAAAATATTTGGAAATCTATGGTCAAACGCTAGCCAAGTTTCCAATAATCTAGTGTAACATGTATGCTTTTATATCATGAAAATTTAGAGACAAAATTCCATAACCAGTGCCAATTTCCCCTCTATACGCATCAGAAATTCTACAACCATAGAAGAGAAGCTTCCATTTTTTGGAATAAACCGTAACGTCTGGGGAAGCGAGTGCACACATCGACTAATTCCACGGGGTATCTGCTGCCTCTTACCAGCGAAAAGATAGACCTTCATAGTACTGTGAAATCTTTAACAGCAAGTGGTTCATACCATTGTGGACCAAATCCAGCAGCTTTTCTTGCTTGCTCATTAAAAGGAGGCTTCAATGGCCCTCTGAAATATGTCCTCACAGTGGAGTGAAACTTTTGAATCACTTCATTGTCTACATCACTAGTTTCTTCTGAAGGAAGGTCACTCAGATTTGGATTTATTGATCTTAAGCAAAGATACTTGAACCACTTGACTCCCGCGGCGCAATGAGTTATTTCTTCTGGATACACCACATTCTCCAGTAACTCAGCTGTTTGACTATCACCACCATTGCGGAAACGGGATATTGTTGTTGGAATCACATCAAGTCCTCTGGCCTACATTATCAGAAAATGTGAAGTCATCAACTAGGTGTAGAAAAAGTGAAAGTGATGCTACAAAAGTAGAATGATGATGAACTGCATAAAAGAAGCCTTTGATCAATACCTCTGCTCGGAAACTTGTAGAGATAAAAGAATATATTGGAAGCCAATGCTCTTAGTTTTCTTAATACTTTTAAGTTTTGCTTATATTCAAGACTTATGATATCTATCTTACATGTCTTATTACGTCTAACCACATGAAATCACTTTATTACACCCCGGTTATCATGTAAAACTAGAAACTACTTAAGGAAGTGTCAGCAGTGAACGTTATATTCGGAAATCGGAATAAACAAATTACTGAAGCTATAACCTACTTGATCAAAATAACTGAGGTTATAATGATATCACAATGCAAAATTGCAGCTGGTTGTTAAAATTCAGCCTGTAATGATCATGAATATGATGACAAGTGGCACCAGATAGCTCTAGTTTGCAGACTGCTGACTATAATCATGCTATAGATTTAAGTAGCATAACGAAATTAAAGTGACAATAAATACTTGAAAGAACTCATGAATGAGGGGACTTAAATTCTTCCGTTTGTTCAATCTTTTGTTGTTTCACATGAGTATAAACTACAAGGTTACAGTCAGCTCTTACATTATGAATGTTTCACATTAAAATGGACGCGTTCCATAGTGCAAAGGAATTTTCTGGAATAAACCCTTATTTTAGAGGCTTATGAATTTTATCATCAAAATTATTGACAAAAGTAAGACATAAAGTGTGGTTCAAGCTCAATCATTTGAGACTTCACAAAGAAGATATTTTTTTGTTACTTCATTCATGAATATCCAGATTTCTTTTATCAGGTGTAAGAGATGAAGAGAGAACCTCATGAACACAGTGTTCAATAGCCAAACGAGCCAACAGATCGTTAGAAGTAGCAATGGCTGAATCCCACAGGCCATCATGAGCAGGTAAAGCTCCATAGAATGAACCTAGTTCCTTAAGCCGTGCGGCAAGTAGCGTAAAATGCCGCCCCTCATCTTGTGCAACTTTTACAAAATCAGTGAAAAATTCTCTTGGCATTGACTGTTGCTTGCCGAATCGAGCAATTATATCCTGTAAGACGACCAAAGACATATATAATCATCCAGGGATAGTTACTCAATAGTTGCAGTTGACAAGTGGGACTCAAAAATGCATAAATATATCCAAGAATGAATCATCAAATAGAGGTACCATCCACCATGCTAGGTCACAACAGCACTAACAACTTTGTTAAACCTTTCTCTATCCACGAGTATTATACAGTGTAGGCAGGCTCATCACCTTCAACTTAAGTTACATATATAAAGTTATAGAAACACACACACACCAAGACACACAAAGTTCAAGTCTGATTGTCACAGTGAAATTTGTGGGTGCATTTGGTACCCATACTCACTTGAAGACTTATCTTCTTTGCAAGAAAAACACCATTCTTGTTCCCGTTTCTAGTGCAAAGCAATCCATCCCACTTGAGAAATTATATCTAGTTTACTATTTTGTAAACAAGTACTGCAACAACATATCCATTGTAATCCCAGAAGTAGAGTCTGGGGAGGGTAGAATGTACGCAGACCTTACAAGGGTTAGAGAGGTTGTTTCCGATAGACCCTCAGTTCAAAGGAGAAGTTCTTTGAAGCAGGATTTCAAGAAAATAAATACAAAACAAATGAAGCAACATATAGTACTACACACTATAAACCGAGTACAATTTCTAAAAATCTCAGCATATATTAAACTTATACCATTAAAGACCCTAAATTTCACAAGCTAATACTTGGGAACAAGGAAATAAGGGAATTTTTTTAATTACCCAAGACAAGTCAATAGCCCAGCTTTCAGTGTGTACAAGACTATGTACAATGGCCTGTCTACTCTGCAAGCTTCCCGCTTTCCCAAGCTTCGGCATGAGACTTGGTGACACCAGCTTCACCTGTTCACCATTATAAGCATTTCCCAGAAAATTGAACACAAAAAAAATAGTAAAACAAGCATTTGGGTCAGTTGGGCATTTCATCGAACAGGTAATAGACATAACAAAAAAGAATTTGAGCTTAAGCAGAAATCATTACATTTGTAAGACGGGCTGGACGATCAGGAACAGGGAGTTCTTCAGCAGGATTATAAGGCTGAGAAATGAGACCTTGCAGCCATTTGTTTGCTACTTCGTCACCAATGCGAGCTTTCTCAACAGGGTCAGCAGTGTTGAGAACTCGCAGCGCCGATTCAACAAGAGTCTCTTCTGAACTCATCACTTGTTAGTTTGGTATTGTAATCTGAAAAGGAAATATGGGAAGAGAAGAGAAAATGACGCTATCAGAAAATCTGAATTGTATATTGAACTAGTAAAGTGTTTTTTAACGAAGGTAGTGTTGTGTTCAAGGGACTCAAATTTGAGAACTTTGGTTAAGAGCTACCGATTAAATTTGAATTTGTGTTAGGGTCACACTGGATAGTAAGAGCTCTCTAACAAAACTGATTTTGTGTTCAAGAGACTTGAATTTGAGACCTCTGGTGAAGAGCTACCGACTAAATTTGGATCGAGCTAGGGTCCATATTGAATAATGAAACGCTTTTTAATGAAGGTGATTTTGTGTTCAAGAGACTTGAATTTGAGACCTCTGGTGAAGAGCTACCCGACTAAATTTGAATCGAGCTAGGGTCCATATTGGATAATAAAACGCTTTTTAATGAAGGTGATTTTGTGTTCAAGAGACTCGAACTCGATGCCTCTAGTTAAGAGCTACTTGACTAAACCATATTGGGTAGTAAAGCGCTCTTTAACAAAAGTGATTATGTGTTCAAGAGACTTGAATTTGAGACCTATAGTTAAGAGCTATCCGATTAAATTTGGATTTGCGCTAGGGTCAATATTGGATAATAAAGCGCTCTTTAACAAAGGTGATTATGTGTTCAAGGAATTCAAGACCTCTGGCTAAAAGCTACCCAACTAAATTTGGATTCATGCTAGGGTACACATTGGATTGTAAAGCGCTATCTAACAAAGACGATTATGTATTTAAGGGGACTTGAATTCGAGACCTCTGATTAAAAGGTATCTGACTAAATTCGAACTTTTGTGAAGGAAAGTCCCACATTGGAGAGTAAAGCGTTCCTAACAAAAGTGACTATGTACCATAAAACTCAAACCCGTATTGCACAATATATGTTATTTTTAATACAATAAATCAAACGCTACATAAGAAATAATCTTATTATAATTAATGTAAATATAACTAATCCTATTAAATAATCATTGATACAACAAATCAAACAATGAAGTATAATCAATCCCGATATAACTAATTTCTTCATCACTAATACTCCTTATTCAATATTATTATTTTTATATACTCTACTAATAGGGGCGGACCCACATAGAGTCTGCCAGGTGTTCAAGCACCCATTAACCTCGTATCGATTAACATAGAGCACCCAATGAACAAATGATTTGACTGGTTCATTGATTCTTGGGTGGGTGCTTAAGACTCTTTTAGTATTGTTCAGCCCGAATTCAAATCTCACCAATTGAATTTAAATAGACGGTCAATAATTCAAAAAACAAAATTAACAATTCACCCTAAAATCAAAGGTGTTTTTATCCTTTTTAAAAATACACAAAATCAAATCAGCCTCAGCCCGACGAAAAGTTGAATTAATAGAACAACTTTTGCTGTGAATGAGAGCAGTAGGGTTTTGTGTGGGTTTTAGAGACGATGATGATGGCGAATTCATTCCCGACTCACAGACCTGCCGAGTCAACTCATCATCGACTTCTCGATTTCGTCAAAAGTGTGCTTATCAATATCTTCGTCTCCCCTTATGCCACTGTATGTACTCTCTACTCTTTCTATTACGCTTCACTTGAATTGTTATGGCGGAGCTAAACCTTCGCTTTGCTCGAAATCTATACTTTTAGTTGAAAATTCACTTAATATGTATAATATCGTAGACAGAGTTTCTTGATACTTAATGCAGGTGAGAGGTGGCAGGTATTAGGTAGAATTAGTCAATTTTTTATTTTGTTTATAAAAATGAATCAAGTAAAATGCAGTTTCTAGAATGTAGAACCTATAAACTCAAAATTCTAGTTTTCTAGTTTTGCGGGTGTTGATATTAATGGATTTTTTTTTATACATGTCTTATGTAGGTATGTGATATGTATTGTGGAAAAGTACCTGATGTGGAGAAGTGGGACGAAGTTCAAATTGGTCACTATATTGGCATTGGTAGGATGACTGTTACTCTTCTGTTTCATTCTTTTTCTTAAGAAGGGCACCTTGAATAATTTTATGGGTGCTTGTTGCCTCTGGACATGCTTACCTTAGGGGAGGAGGCATAGGTGTGCAAGGTGTCCAATTGAATCCCATTCGTTGAAAAATTATACTATTGAAATAGGGAAAAATGATTATTTTTTTTGTGTATGTGTAAGTTGTTTAATTCTCTTGGCATAAGAATTTCTTTTTGAATTCCCTTGTTAGAATTACCAGCTAGTACCTCTGTCCACCAAAGGCTTTAACATATGAGAATAACTGACTTAGTGTTTTTGCCTGAGATACACAAAATACATACACATAGTATATATATGTGCAAACACACAAATACATATGTACATATATACTCGTACATAGTATCTATTTTATTTTGTATGACACTCTTCCTCTTTTGTGATTCTAAAGAAAATTGACATGTCTTTGTCATCAGAAACTCTTTAATTTTATCATTTTTATTTTTCCTTAATGGCATGCTTTTACTGATATCAATAATATGTTTAGGAACAAGATTCTAAAGGTACTTTGGTATATCACACACACACACACATATATATACATATAGATTATGCATAAAAAATCTTTCTTTCTTAAACTCCGCATACAGTAAAACTCCCTCATATAAATTGAACCTGAGAGTAGTGCATAGATACCCACTGATGGTAGCTTAAAATTTGAAAATTGTGTTGAATAGATGTGGAAACTTCGGGAGTGAATGAAGTGAAGGAAGCGTGGGAGAGTCAGCGGAAGGCTTACACATCTGAGTTCATTGAGCTCGATCCTTGTATTGTGAGTCCAACAACTATTCCTTTTTTGGGCGTATTTTATTTGGTCTATGCTAATTGAACTTGTGAATCCAGTATTCTGTTGGTTTTCATTATCAGATTCTGTTTGGCAGTTGGGTTACTGCTTTGTATTTTACTCTCTTGATCAATTTCTGTTGTCTGTTTTAAGTAAAATAGCCAAGAGCGTTGAAGTGTTATCTACCTCACCTCCAAGGTTGAAATGAGCTTTTCCTGTGAAAGATTGAATCCTCATTCCCTCCCCACTTTACTTATATAGTTCGCATTTCAAGTAGTCAGTGTGCAAGTACCTATTTGGTCTCTTGCCGTTCCTTCTGTTTTGTTCAGAAATTTTGTTTTAGTGCCTTGATTCTTCTTATCCTTTTCCTTATTTGCGTGATTGGTTGCTTTTCAGCAATTCAGAGCAGTGTTATTGAGTAAATTGTTTGCTCCAATTAATATTGCCTTTATTGTGTGATGTCATCAACAGAAAGCGGAACTGTATGGATGTTTATTGTGTTCTCAGTTATGAGGTTTGTTGTATGCTTCTGTCTAGTTGGCAGTTATATGAATGTACATTTTTTGTGCAGGAAGATATAGACTCATTTTGGAAGGACAAGGAAAAGCAGGCCGATGTCGTTTTCTGCATGCACAATTTACAGGTAAGCTGTTCTTGTACTAGTGTCTTCTTTATGTACACTTCTAGCATCTGTTAGTTGCATTGAAATTAATCTGATATTTACTTGCAGGCGTGCTTTGATAGTGAAGAGAAAGCAAGGAGGCTATTGCATAATGTATCAGCTTTGCTTAAACCTGGGGGTTACTTTCTTGGTATTACTCCTGACTCATCTACTATATGGTACGAAACTGAAATCGGATGATTGAATCACATATTTGTAGTATATTTTCTTTTCATCTTGCTGAAGTGGGATTTTCTTTTGGGGGGTGGGGGACTGCCAAGTGGGTGTCTTTTTAATGCTTTAAACTAGCTTTTGTTGTCACTGGTGTTATTAAAAAACCATCGATTTGTGGCTTAAATTTTAAAGCAATAAAGTGAGGTGAAGTGTGGGGTTATTGCTTCATGGATGATGCATTCAAACAATAATGCGCAAAGTGATCCAAAAGTAAGACGATATCTTTAAATTCTCAATTTTGAGGAATTGGATTAATATTTGTTTGTTTATGAAATAAAATTTACCTTGTAAAAAATAGTCGTACTCTCTCTGTCCCTAATTACTTGTCCACTTTTCCTTTTTTAGTTGTCCCTAATTACTTGTCCATTTTGACAAATCAAGAAAGGACAAATTTTTTTTACCTATTATACCCTCAATTAATTGCTTTGAAAAAGGTAGAATTTTTTGAAATCTTAAGTTTTTAATTCATCCACTTCATAATTAATAGGGGTAAAAGGGTAAACTCACTATGTCAATCATTGTTTTCTTAATTGGTGTGCCAATTTGAAAGTGGACAAGTAATTAGGGACAGAAGGAGTATCCATCAAGTTGGAAAACCATCTTAATTTCTGGTTTAGATGAAATGCTTTTTAGAGCTAGTTTTCTACTTTCCTTATGTTAATTTTTTAATTTTTGTGCACTGGGCTGCCTTTCTTATTGTCAATCACAAAAAATACATGCTTAATGTTTTCCAATAATTAATGCATCAGTTTACCAACTATAATATTATCTTGTTATTGCTCTTTCAAAAACAAGCAATAATGCTTTAGTACCTTAGTGCCTACACTAGAGAGCTGCTTAAGTGAGGTGAAGCACACAACCTGGCTTTAACTGAGCCTTCAGGGTCTAAGTACACTTCAAATGATCCTTTGGCAACACTGTATGAAGAGATGAATGGAGGATAGCAGAATCTCTAGGTGTTTGGACATTATAGTAAGTCATGATTCTTCATAGTGATAATTGACGTTATTCAACAAATTGAGAAAGAAAAAAATGAGTTCCTTGTTTATGGGCTGTAAAATCCTTTTATCAATATCTCAGTTTCCTTTTTGTAGTACCCTCTTTGTACTTATTTATCAGTAAACACTTTACCTTATCAAAAAGAATCGATCAATATCTCGTTTTTTTCAGTAGTTGGGTTATTTATTCCTCTTGCTTCTGTAATTGCCTTTATACATTAGATTCACATTAGTTACATTTTCTGGATGAAGTATGGCATATAAGTAAGAGGCATACTTCAGAATCTATAGCTTATTTCGTGTGCTTTCTTTTGTTCATTTCTTGCCTTTTGCGGGTGTTATAAGTATGCTGATTTCTTGATCAGAGTGTCTGTTTACTTTCTTATATGCCGTTGAATAGATATTTTTTCAACTCATACAAGTATATTGCAATAAGATGATTATGTAAGTCTAGCTTATAAAGAAGGATGCTTATGTAAGTCTAGTAGGCATGGGGATTTTACTTGGGTTCAAGGCCTTGTTGAGATCCACTCATGGTGGTTCTGTCTCTCTTTGCATAAGTCATTTTATCTCAAGATTCTGCTTATTCTTGTTTGGTTGTTTGCACTCCATTTGACCATGTGGTTGTTATAGGGCAAAGTACCAGAAGAATGTTGAAGCATACCATAATAGGAGCGGTGGGATGAAACCAAACATTGTTCCTAGTTGTATTAGATCAGAAAATTACATGATCACTTTCGAGGTTGAGGAAGAGAAGTATGGAATCCACTTAGCACCCACTTATGTTTGATCTTACTGTGTCTCTTTTGAGCGATTAATTATGTTCTGTTGTGAATTGGATTTCAGGTTTCCTTTCTTTGGTAAGAAGTATCAATTGAAGTTTGCAAGTGACATCTCTGCTGAAACCCAATGTTTGGTTCATTTTCCAAGCCTGCTCAGGTTCATGCAGCAATATCCCCTGTCAAATTTCAATTGGTTTTGTTGTTTTCTGTTACCTTCACCCCACCCCATACCTCTGTCTATAGTTCCCTTGAGCCCCCTTTTGAAGCCCCCTTGTTGAACCCCACTTTTCCCAGTAAGCCCTGCCATCAGGGAGGAACCCTGCCATGCCTCCAATCATGATCCACTATGATACTTCTATTGTCCAATGTTCAACTATTTGAAATCACGCCTTTTCAGATGGGAATAACCAAACTTGTTCTCGTAATGTGAATCTGGGTATTCTATTTTACAATGTTTTACAAATCTAGTAGGTTATCCGTATGCATCTTTGGTTTGTTTGTGTCATTTTTTTGAGTTTCAGATGTCAACATTTGTGCTCTTGCATTTCCAAAATGGGAAGAAATATTTTAGCTTAGCTTATTTTCTTATCCTGCCAATGTAAATAAATCCTATAATTAACTTGTAAAGTCATATTCCTCAGGTTGGCCAGAGAGGCTGGCCTTGAGCACACGGAGATTCAGAACTTGACAGATTTTTATGATGATAACAGGTAATAGATTGTAACTTACAACTTCACCATCATGGCTGTTTCATTTTGCTTGTTTACCATTTTAATCTATCATGAAATTACCTGAATTTTTATCACATCATTGATGAAGCCATGAAGGTAAGTGATGATTCTTTTGAAGTTAAACTTTAAAATGTGATAGTTTATTGCATAGGGAATCTATATAATTCATGGCAATGCACTTGCCAAAAAGTAGTGTATACATGCATTGCATAGTGTACTCTGATGGATGTAATATTGGGTGGGAACCTAACTTCAATTCAACTTTTTTCATGTTGTGAAGTGTTCAGTATTTGTCTCACCAAGTACACCATAATATTTCCTAGTAAGTGTGAAAGAAAATGGTTTCCCATCACTTGACCATTTTTCCTACCTTTTACGAATTTAATGGGTCACTTATAGTATACTGATTTTCTTTTTCTAATTATATCTATTTTTCCTTTTCTTTTGGTTGTTAAATTTTATTATTTCTTTTAGAAGGTTTTTGAGGGTTGTTAGCTGGACAGGAATAACCGAGTAAAAAGTGGATAAACTTTTATCCAGCCTGGAATTATTGCTTAAATTAAGGTTTAACATACCACAGTTCTATTGTTATCAGCAGAAATAACTGATAATTTGATAAAGTTGCTTCATTTATTGAACCTTTTTGGTCCCATTTTCTTAGATTATTAGTAGTGTCTGTTATTTAGACCATTGTTTCAAGTGTCTTTAGTCTCCAAATAAAGTTCTTCTGATAAATTTCTTTAATCAGAACAGCTGATCCTTCCTTCATTTTACTCCATTCATAGAGCACAATTTCTTGGAATGCTACAAGATGCTGGTCATAACTTTTTTGATCCCAGGGGCAGACTTCTTCCCAGATCGTATGACGTTTTAGGTAATCAGATTATTCACTGCATTGATCATCAACTAAAATCTGGTTCTGGTCTTGTATTACAACATCTTTCACTAATTTCCTATCCTTACGTATTTTTCTTATACAGGTCTATACACCACATTCATATTTCAAAAACATGATCCGGATATTGCACCTCCACTTACAACTCCATTTTTGCCTGTTGGAAGCCACTATCTTGATGAGGTAAGGTTTCTACTCCACTTTTGAGGTCTTTGTTCAATTTCATTAGATCTTCATACTGTGTGTAGGCAGCATAATTATTCATGGAAAGTCCGCATAATTTATGGTTGGGAAATAAACGATCCTCTTGAGTGATTGTTTGATTCTTTGGATTAGCAGCATCTTGGTTGAAAGAAACTATCTACAGGAGTGGTTTCTTGGCAGAGGACATGCTTGTACTTTGCTACTTTCTATTACCAGGCTTTCAATGTTATTCCCAGTAGTCTAGTGTATAATTTAATCTCGTCTCCTCGTGATCCAGATGGAATGGCAAGTCATTTTGTGGAATGAAGAGGAGAATGGACAGACTGATTCATCTATAGGGTTGGGAAAGATAACTGAGCAAAAAGGGATTTTAGGTCCTGGTCCTGCAGAATTACGTTTCCCCGAAGCTATTTAATGTGATGGTGTAGACATTCGGTGGCAGCTTGAAGGATCACAGCAAAAGTGGCAGGATTTTCCAGTCAAGCCATCTCCTGGCGTTAAATTATTATATCCTTCATTTTGTTGTATAATGGATAAACATTTTGATTAGCAAATTGGCTTGTTGTATATAGAATAGATCCCTTTTGGGGACTAGCCAATATCAATGTACTAATTCACCATGGAAGATTCATCTTCACCGCCTTGACGAAAATTGAACAGCTTCCTTAATGTATTCATAGATGTCAAGTGATTTCGAGGTTGCAGTTTTTGACTGATAAAATGTTTCTCAATTTTTATTTGATAATTTGAGTGTTGGGCAGCTAATGCCCTGTATCTTCCTAAACTTGCTCATTTTGGAGTTTCAGATTTTGCCTGTTAGGTAATTGGCACTTCACACACACCAAATATGGCACACGCCTTAATTTCTTTTGTTTTACTAATTTTTGTTTAGATTTTGTTGCTGGGCATGCAGAATTTGGGATAATTACGAACTTGAACCATTCAGTCATCTAGTTTACAAAATATATACGAAGTGTATAGGTTGTGTACACTTTATACTATACATACCTATAAACAATGTATACACTATGATAGCCGAATGGTATATATGTGACTTCCCCACAAAATTTTCAGACCCTTCTGTCAATAAGTCCAATGATTTTTTGGTGTAACCATAACATACTCGGTGTAATTTGGTGCAACCATATCTAAGAACATTTAATGCATTGCTCATGTTTGACTAGCTGTAAATATAACAACATACTCGGTGTAATTTGGTGTAACCATAATGCATTGCTCATGTAATGACCAAATGCCTTGTCACGGGTAAAAAAAAAAGGAAAGGAAAAAGATTACTCAGTGTAATTTGGTGTAACGATAATGCATTGTCATGTAATGACCAAACGCCTTGTCACGGGTAAAAAAAGGAAAGGAAAAATATTACATTTGGTGTAACGACAATGCATTGCTCATGTAATGACCAAACGCCTTGGGTGTCACGGGTAAAAAAAGGAAAGGAAAAAGATTACATTTGGTGTAACGATAATGCATTGCTCATGTAATGACCAAATGCCTTGTCACAGGTAAAAAAAAGGAAAGGAAAAAGATTACATTTGGTGTAACGATAATGCATTGCTCATGTAATGACCAAACGCCTTGGGTAAAAAAAAGGAAAGGAAAAAGATTACACACCCGGTGGGACTCGAACCCACAATCGCCTGATTAGAAGTCAGACGCCTTGTCCATTAGGCCACGGGTGCTTTTTGACATGTAACACTGAAAATTAACTTACTATTCTGAACGCTTCTGACACCTCTCAACTTATTGCACAACTAGTTTGTAGACACGTAGTGTAATCCCATAAGTGAGATCCAGAAGAATTGTGTGTACCTTGTGAAGGTAGAAATGATGTTTCTCGTAGACCCTCAATTCAAAATAGGAGGCCTTCTTTATATATATACTTTACTATCATAAAACATTAACGATTTGATATTGCACTCACTTCTATATGGTTTTGAAGTCAAGTAAATTGACTTTCACCTTTTACCAATGGTAGATCAAAATCGGGATTATAATTTAAAATTTATAAATTTATGAACTTATAAAATCGGGCTCATATATAGTTTGAATACAAATCATTATTGGGATATGAATCCCTCCAAGTAAATGAAGATCGCAAGCATGATAAGGATTTGAAAATATGAAAAGATGCACTCAAGGAGATGGGAGATTTTGCTCTTGATAACACACACATATGGAATTATTCATCATTAGAATTCTTTGTAAGAACTATATTTGTATATGTGCTTATTTTTCTAACGAAAATGCGTTACTCCGTGTTGAGCTTTTTAGTTCAGATCGTTTACATCCAAATTTTATACTAAATAATTAGCTGATAGTTTTAATGCCCAATAAATAAGTAACTATTTTAGATAATTGCTTAAAAACTTATTTTTGCTTAAAAACACCTAAAATAAACCAATTCAAACAAACTCGTATTCTCCATGATTTTCGTCCGATTACATCAAAATAAAATCCAGAAAATCTGGACGTTATCACCTGTATGGGCACTCCCGGAAGGAACATTTCGGGCTTTGGTCGTCCAGAGCAAATTGGGCAACTTGATCGTTGTTTTTAATACACGCGTCTAGTCAAATAGTCTTCACTCGATATATTTTTACCAATACAATATGGGTTTATTTGGAATAATGTATAAAAATAGTGTGTATTTGTAAGGCATGTTCGGATAAGTAATACAAGAATTAGCTATGCTAAAAACTCTTGCATTGTTAATACCATCTATACATTAATTATACATAGGGATATATATGTTGAAAATTTATATCAAACAAGAGATGAGTAAATATCAAAACACATTATTTTTTCTAATGCATCCTACCATATCAACTTTCTCCTCTATCTTTACTTCTTTACCGTGCAAAACAAGTAAATACACACAAAAATAGTAAGAAGCTAAATTTCATAAACATTTTATAGAACTTCCCCTATTTTAACTCCAACTAATAGGTATTATCCATTAATAAAAACCCTATATCCGTTTTATATTGTGTAGCCACCAAGTAAAACCATCACTATATATAATACTCCAAAACATTTCTCACTACACCATATATAATCACCTTCCTCCTTCAAACTTTATATCAAACATGGCCCCAAAGGCCCCAAAAATGAGACCTGAGTGTCAAACATGTTGGGAATGTGCATTGCTATACCAATCAGGTTGGAAATGCGCGTGCCGAACAAGCTCACAATCACCGGAAACATTTATATTTCTTCGAATGGGATTCACAGAAAATGGTTCAGCAACTTTTCTGTCTACTGGAAATCCATGTTTAGATTTCTACTTTCATGTTGTCCCTGACACCCCACCTCAAGAATTATTGCAAAGATTGAAACTTTCTTGGAAATGTGATGCTTTAACAACCCTTATGCTTATGTATAATTTAAGGGGTGTTAGAGGCACTGGCAAATCAGAGAACGAAGGGTTTTATACTGCTGCTTTATGGCTTCACAATAAACATTCTAAAACTCTTGCATGTAATATTAAAGCCATTGCCAATTTCGGGTATTTTAAGGATGTGTTGGAGATTTTGTACAGATTGCTTGAGGGACATGAAGTTAGAAAGAATGAATGGAAAAGAAAAGAGAAGGATTTTTGGAGGGTTTAAAGGAGAAAAAAGGTAGTAGTATTATTCCTAAAGGAAAGGCTAAACGAATTCGGGAAAAGACTCTGGCTAAGACAAATAAATTCTTGGATAGATACATAGAGGATTATGATTTTCAATTCCTGTATGATAAAGTCTCTGGTTGCTTTGCTAATGCTTTGTGGAAAGACATGGAGTTGTACAATGAAGGGAAGTTTTATGAGCTTAGCCTTGCGGCTAAGTGGTGTCTATCTCTTGATTCTTCTTATGATAAGTCATTGTTAATGTGTGAAAGTGTTGGAAGAAAGTTATTTCCTTATGATGAGTACATGGATCTTGAAGACGTTCATTATGCTTATCGTGTGAGGAATAGATTGAGAAAAGAAGTACTTGTGCCACTCCACAAGGTGTTGGAGATTCCAGAGGTTTATATTTGTGCAAATAATTGGGAAGAGCTTCCTTATAAACGCGTCCCTTCTATAGCCATGAAAATGTACAAGGAATTGTTCTACAAGCACAATAAAGAAAGATTCAAGCAGTACCTTGAAGATGTGCAGAATGGGAAAACAACAATAGCAGCTGGTGCTCTGCTTCCACATGAGATAATTGCATCTTTAAAAGATTCCACTGGGCCGGAAGTTGCAGAGCTTCAATGGAACAGAATGGTTGGTGACTTGGCAAAGAAGGGGAAACTAACAAACTGTATGGCGATTTGTGATGTCTCAGGAAGCATGAGTGGAACCCCAATGGAGGTTTGTGTGGCTCTGGGGTTACTTATTTCTGAACTTAGTGAAGAACCTTGGAAAGGAAAGTTAATTACATTTAGTCGAAACCCAGAATTTCATATGGTGAAGGGGAAGACTTTATCAGAGAAGACTAATTTTATTAGGAGAATGGACTGGGGTGGTAATACAGCTTTTCAGAAAGTGTTTTGATAAGATTCTTGAAGTTGCTGTGAGGGGGAATTTGAGTGAGGAACAAATGATAAAGATATTGTTTGTTTTTAGTGACATGGAATTTGATGAGGCTACAGCAAGTCCATGGTACACAGATTATCAAGTGATACAGAGAAAGTTCAAGAAAAAAGGTTATTACAAGGTGCCTGAAATTGTGTTTTGGAATTTGAGGAATTCAAAGGCAACACCAGTTCCTAGTAACCAACAAGGAGTGGCACTTGTGAGTGGATTTTCAGAGAATCTTGCGACTGTTTTCTTGGAGGAAGGTGGGATTTTGAGCCCGGAAGCTGTGATGCTACAAGCTATTTCTGGTGATGAGTATCAAAAGCTTGTAGTGTTTGATTGAATTGTAAAAAAGAATGTTGTCAGAAATTGTAATAAGATGAGCTCTTTACTTTCTATCTACTAAAGAGAAATAGAGTTCCTCTATATTTGATATCATTGATATTATATATACAGAGCCGAGGGTATTTCGGAAACAACCTCTCTACCTCCACGAGGTAAGGGTAAGGTAGCACACACTCTACCCTCTCCAGACCCCACTTGTGGGATTAGATTTGGGTATGTTGTTGATGTTATATATACTAGTTTCACACTTGTGGGAAAACATTGATATGCCTTGTCCCATAGTACTTAAATAAGTTATCTCTCGGGAGTCGTTTGGTGTAAGGTATAAGGTACAATAATACCAGGATAAAATGCAGGATTATTTTATCCTGCGTTTGGTTGGAGGTATTAGGTAATCTTTGGATTACTTTTCCCACCATTTATACCTTAGTGATGGGATAAGTTATCCTACATACATAGTGGAATAACTTATCCCGAGATAATTAAACTCGGATAACTTGTTCCCAACCAAACAACCCCTCAAGGTATACGCTTCACTAATAGAAGGTTTATTCTTTAAGTAATATTGAATTCTTGATAATTTCACTTTCTCCTTGACCAAATGTTTGACAATCTTCCTATGAAGAGTTTGTTATCATCAAGAAAAGAAGTAAGGTTCTTATATATCACTACTCTGTTCATAAGATAGCTATTAGAGCTACTTATCTACCTAAAGATATATATAATACTATTTGACACACAAAAATAATGAAGCAATGTAGGATGACACCCTTCACTGCCTACACAACATATGGATTAGAGAAAAAAAGAGA